GAGAGAGAGAGAGAGAGAGAGAGAGAGAGAGAGAGAGAGAGAGTTACGTAATTATATCATAAGACTATCGTGAGTTATTTATAAAGAAATGTCGAATTCTTCCAAATAGATCCCGTGATGTAATTTCTTAGTGTTACATTTTAAGTGGCTAAGATTGCAAAACTTAATATTTTTAAATTTTTCTGGAAGTTCAATTTAATTCAAAAATAAGAAGTTTTAGATATACCAAATTGTTGAATTTGCTTAAATTCCGGAAAAAAATAGATTCGCTGATTCAGCAAAGTTATAGTTTGCTGCGCGAAATTAACATCTGTAACTAAGAAAATTTGGTGGTTTAACAAAGAAATTATGTCTGTAAGCATTTATCAGTACGCTCACAGAAGAAACTCATCTTTGTTAATATTATCATTGCTATTGTAACAAATTAATTTAATTCAAATAACTAATTTACAATTGCAATACATGCGTTTTAATAATTTTAGTAAAAAAATTGTTACTATTATTACCAAAAAAAAAAAAGGATTGCGAATAAAGTGTGAAAATTTTGGCGAGGGAAGGATACAATTAGTGATAACAGATCGAGTCGTGGCGCTGCGCTGTACGATTCATCATGCTTTCTTCTATTGTTTTGAAGGTAGTCGGAGTATAATAGCACGAGAAAACTCGGCACATGTCCTTGTGCCGAGTTTTCTCGTACTATTATACTCGTGTATTATATTGTACTACATTTATTTAATGTTTGTGTACAGGGTGCTTCCGATACATACACATCAGTAAGTTGGGTTTCCTTTCAGCAGGGGCATGCTCATCCGCAGGGATCTGCTTATCGGCATGGTAATGCAGAATAAGATTAGATCGCAAAAGACAAGAGAAATTGAACTTTACATTCTGATATAGTGTAAAATTCAATAATATAATATAAAATATGTATTTAATAATACAAATAATATCTGACTTAAGAAGAGTATGTAAGGGCATAAAACACATATATCCATATTTATACTTTATACAAACTATATGCATATGAAAGTTGTGTTTATAATATTCTGTTTTTATTGAGCAACACATTTTTATAGATTATTTATTGTATTTGTTATTATTTTTATTATTGTT